ATAAAGCGTCTAGTAATCCAAATATCCAAACAAATAATTATTGAAATAAGTACATGCAGAATTTTTTATTTTATTATACTACAACAAACAAATAATAATTTAACTGTATATATAAAAAAACCTCACTAGTTTGTGGAATTGCATCTATTTACCAAGTTTTACTGAAATTGGTTAAAGGAAAGTGGGAGAAATCTTAAAAACCACTCTTTTGAAGTGGAATATTTTCTATAAATTTAAATGAGACCACTACAGAGGTACCTTTCTAATAAAAAAAGAATTATCAAAATTAGTTCACAAACGTCGGAGTGATCGCCTAACATACACATAAAAAAGTATAGACGAATCGAGAACCTCAATTCGCTCACTCAATGAACTCTTACAAAGATACATAAACGCAAATATTTATTTTATTGAACATCATTATGCTTTCACAACTACGATATTCATATATTTTGAAAGAGACTCCACTACTTTGTTATTGTTATTGATAGCCACGGTGAGGCAACAGACGCTGATTCGAGTACAGTCAGATCCAAAAAAATTTTCTTTGTGTCTGTTCGGTGTTTATATAGAGTAACAATAAATGTTTACATAATAATCTCAGGACAGAGAACTAAAAAAACCGACCTCGAAGTCATTCATCCCCTAGTTTGCCACCTTTAGAGGTGGCATATTTTGTTCAAATTTAAATGAGACCACTGAGGTACCCATTTTTCTAACAAAGAATTATTAAAATCGGTTCACAAAGATCGGAGTTACTGCGTAACATACATACAAAAAAATGTTTTTTGAAGTCGGAAGAAGTTAAAAAATTTTAATTAGTTTTATTTATGATAGGTGCTATGCTAATTGACGGAACAAACAGTAATACTTTGGGTCATATTCTAGAACTGTTCAATTTGAGTATGGTTTAAAACACTCGAAATCATACTCAAGTCCCTGCCATTAGGATCGTATTTCCAGTGCTTGAAATCATACTCAGATCCTGACTTGAGCATTGAGTAGAGTTCTGGAATACGGCCCTTAGATTCGTTACGACAAACGAATGAGTTAAGATGATGCAAAAAAGATGCGATTTTTTAAAAATACTTCATAAATATTGAATGCATTTCCCAATTTCTTCTTCAATTTTCTGATAATTTTGAAGTGAAGAGTCAAGTTAAGGTCAAGTTTAAAATACTTACGTATATAAGATCATTGTTTATCTGTGTCACAATTATTTTAACTTTCGTATTTCGTTTCGAGTGTAAACGAGGCTTCAAATAAAATGTCAAAATGTGAGTCATGTTACGTTCAAAAACAAATATATACAATAACTTTATTCGTATTTTTAAAATTAGCTATTTATTAGTTATTATTTATTAGTTATTTTTAAGATAAGTTAAAGTATGAATTAAAGTTATCTTATTTTACAACATACATTTAGATGAATATAAATTTTCAACCAGTCGCAACTAAAAAATTTGCGAGTCCAAAATGAGCACTGTTCTTTTGAAAGTTATTATTTCGAATGCTGCGTTTCGGTAGAAAATGCTTAGTTAGTGACCCTTTTGATACCGCAGCTGGCACAACACAAAGTAACCTTGTATTTAGTGCCTTTTTACTGTAGAAAATTTATATTTTCATCCGTATTTTTGTATCATATTTTTCTTATATCTTATCTATTCTTATATTGCTGTTGACTTTGTTGTCATTTATTGTGATTTCGTTTATTTTATTAAATGTCTCTTCTTTCATTTCTTTCCAAATTACGTTCAATCAATCAATCGCAGCGTCGTCTGTAATGTTATTTGTAACATTTATTTACAATCATTGGTTGCGTATTTTATTTGTTTATATTTTTGTTCTTTAGAAAGACGTATGTTTACTGCCATTCTTATAATACGTCTCATTTAAGATTAGAAGCATTTTCGCACTACGTCCGATTGGTATCAGGGGACTCTCGATCTCCGTCCGACATCCGTCCGAAACAATTACTGTCAAATAAGTAATATTCGACAAAATAAAAAGACAGGTATCCAGTATGAAGTTTCATTCGCATCACGCGTCTTTTCATTTGGTCATGTATTTATATACTTATTTGACAGTAATTGTTTCGGACGGATGTCGGACGGAGATCGAGAGTAGACCCCCAGTTCCGAATCCGAAAAATGACGGTCTGAAATGTCACATGATCATTTTATCTCTAGGTGTGCAAGCGATATTCGTATTTTCTTGGATTCAAATTGGACTTGTGCATAAGCGACATCTGAAGTGGGTCCGGATTTTCTAGATTTGTACAGTCTCCGATTCCGAACGAATACGCCACGAACCACACGCAAAATAGGCGCTTTGTCGTCGAGTTGCGGATACCAGCCCGTTGCACCAAGTACCAAGTAGTACTTGTACTATTGCAACCCGTAGAATAAAATGATAAGACAAATGGTGCAATACTTATTTTCGGCTCAGGGGGTCTACTCTCGATCTCCGTCCGACATCCGTCTGAAACAATTACTTACAAATGAAAAGACGCGTGATGCGAATGAAGCTTCGTGCTTGACACTTGTCTTTTAATTTTGTCGAATATTACTTATTTGACAGTAATTGTTTCGGACGGATGTCGGACCCCCAGACCTTACGAGATAAAATAAATAAAATAAAAAATAAAAAAATAAAATGTTAATCTACAACATAAATCCAACATGATGATTGATTATGACTAATTATTTATTATTGAAATATCTCCATTTTGGCTTATCGGCTGTTTCATTTATAATATAGAATGCACAAAAAATATTCTTTCCTTAAAGCTAACTAATAATCTACCTACGAGTACGTTCAGTATTTAAGAACTTATCAATGAAAATATGTTTTTATTTTTCCTAAAATATTACTTTGTTGCGATTATCATTTTGTTCTCCGAGGAGAGTCTCAGGATGACTATTACAATGATAGTGCCCCTCAGATCTTTGTGATTTAAAACTCTAAGCGGCACTGCATCTGTCATGGATAGTGGACAAGCGTGTCGCAATTTGTCCGTCCCATCGCTTGAAATCATAAAAAAGGATGTGAAACTATTGTTTCCGGATCTAAGTCGTGTTTATTTGTTTTTCCAAACAAACCTTTTTTGTTCGCTTGTTGAAATAAATTGTTGGGACGACATTTACAAGGACATAGAGAAAATCACAAACACAGACTCATGATACGAGTAGAAATGAATTGTAAATTCATTATCTTATGCTTGCTCATCATTTCCTTCAATTCACAAGTCAGTGACCTATTAAGAACTATGTTTCGTTTCTTCATCATATTACAAACAATTATTACTTTATTACGTAATCCAATTCTGTCTTCAACTTGCATGCAGTGTGTGATAGGCTATTTTGGTGACGTATCACGTAGAGATGCTGATAACCTGAAACGTTTGATGGTGACAGGGAAGGTGGAAGACGTAATCCAAGTACTTATGTGTCGGTAATGAGAGATTCATCAATTCTTTTTTTACCGACTTTATAAAAGGAGCTTCTCAATTCGACGATTTTTTTTGTACATCACGCGATTCTTTTTTTGTTGGAAAGAGGGTACCTCAGCGTTGGTCCCATTTAATATTCGACGAAAATATTCCCCCTGTAAGGGTAGCAAACTGGGGGATGAATTTACTACTCTGTACTGATATTATTTATCATTTGAAAATTGCCTGCTTTTGTTATTGATAAACACGCACCTACTACATATTCTTTTAATATATATACTCATTTTACCATTACGTATTACATCACACATTGAAATCAATACCACTACAACAAGTCACCAAACATTAAAGTCAGAAAAAGTCAACAAAAAAGCTCCAGAAACAACCTTTAATATTTCTGAAAACTCGTAATTTTTAAAATCAAGATGTTTCATTTAATGATGGTTTAGCTTTCAACGTGAGATTTTATTACGACTAAATTACGACACGTGGTTAATTAAAATGCTTAATGACCTACCGCCTCTCAAGAAGAGGCCGTGGGTTCAAAGTCGGCCTCGTACCTCAATGTTACTCTAAATTTATGTGCGAAATTGAATTTGAAATTTAACATATGCGTCATCACATAATTTTTCACGCAGGCACGTCGGATGACGTTCACAACTCTCGGAATACTTGTAAAGTCCCCAACCCACATTTTTAAATAAAATCTAAGTGACGGGACGAGCAAGTCGAGTGTCTGATGGTAAGCGACACGCCTGTCCATAACAGTTGCAGTTCCAATCAGGGCTTTAAATCCCAAAGATCTGAGGGACACTGCCACTGCACCCGAAACACTCAGACATGAATTGACAAGTCCCATGTGCCTGTAATTTCAATCAGTTCCCTTACAAATGAAAGAATAGAAAATTGAAATAGGTAAGGTGGCAGTACTTCCCTGGACGAACACTTTCACAAGAAGCTCTACTGCTAACAAAATTTAGCCAACGTGTCGGGCTATGGACTAAACTGAAAGGAGACCCGTGCCCAGTAGTCCGACGTTAATTGGCTTTTATATAAACTAAAAATACGTAAACTTTAAAAATAATTAGATATAAACATAATTATTTATATCATTGACTTACAATTATATGGACGTCGGGTCCGCGTTAAAAAGTGTCCGAACTTATAGGGCGTTAAAATCGTGTACAGAGCGTCATTCACGCTCTAGTCTTCGTTTGTTCGACTGACAGCGAAGCAAGCAAAATTAGATAGTACTGCGATGACATTACAATTTAAATTCAACGTTTTAGTTTTTCGTATTGCTTGACATGTCAGTACGTTTAAATAGGTTGACTTGGGACATTTTTTTCGTGGTTTTTGTATTAGACCCGTCGTCGTCCATTTTTTTGTAAGTCAATGATTTATATACAGAAATATACCTGCTTACAGAATTTGATTTCTATTGGTACCACGTTGAGCAACAATTTTCTGATCTATTTTATATAACAAAAAGGACACCTTAATATGATTCAAATAAACGAATTACTAATGTCCCTTTTCTTCTTTTCAGATCCAATCGTGTTCGTGTTCAGTGAATCAAAAGTGAAGTGGAGTGGAGAAAAGTGAGTGACGCATTTATGTTGTAAGTGGCGCCGGTGTGTGACCCAGATGTGACGATTTACGAGAGAGCTCACTTACACGCATAGTCATGGTGAGTATTCCATAAAAGATGATTTATGAAGAAAGAATTATTTCCCAACAGAGTCAATCGAACAGGTACCCTAGAAATTAATACATAGAAAACGAACTTAAAACGATTGCGCACCACAAAGGATAAAACTGCGTCCGCGGTATTTTTCAAACGTTCAAATGCGATCTGGTTTCAATCCAAAGCCTCTTGCAATTCTTTTTCATGTTCCATAATCAACGAATGGTAGATTTTCATGCCCGCGGTCCTTGATAAATTACTGGTGCCAACGGAATTTGGCATTCTTCCAGAAGGAGAAAGAATTCTGTGGTATCCAAATTTTATGTGTTTGGTAGTTTATTGCTATATTGCCTGTGCTAGAGGTAATACATACACTTGTAATAAGCAATACCACGTGTGTTATCTTAAGAATATCAATAACCACGCTTTCTTTTTCTCTCTCTCTCCAGCACACTCTCTCTCTGTCAAACACACACACACCTAATGACCTTAATAATGCCATTTATTATGATACCAAGTGGCGAGACGAACGAATCGTGCGCCTGTTGGTAAGCGCTTTAAAGCACTCAGAGCTTTAAATCGCAAAGATCGATGAGCACCGCCACTGCGCCTATTACCCTAAGACATATGTTGACAAGTTCCATGTGTCAGTAATTTTATTAGCACACTTACCCTTGAAAGCCGTAACGCATTTATGCTTGGCAGATGGAATAGGTAAGTTAGCAGTGTTTCCCTGGACGAACTCTTTTACAAGGAGCTCTATTAGTACTAAAATCCTAAAAACAGTTCCTACTAGATAAGCTTGCTCTCGCGGAGTTGCCCCAACCCCAAATGTTTGCCATAAGAATGAAACGCAATAGTTTATGGAGAAGTGCACTTATCCAAGTCTGGTTTTAATATGTGTTAACGCTCCCACTGAAAGGTTTAGTGGTAAATATGTGGCTAACCGACAACGAGTATGTTTGCTGTAAAATATTCAAGGCTGCTGGGATTTCTGTTTTATGTACGCTAACTATTTATTTACGTACTATAAAATATTCATAAGTAGGTGTAAGTCAGCCAGTAAGGTCCTGGATTTTCTTACTCGTACATCTCAGGGGAATCCGCGTTAAGAATAAGCAGTAGAAGCCTAAATGAATTTTAGAATCGTCTTCACAAAGTCACTAATTTATTTAAGGGGCAGTGTATACGCTTCTATAATAAGATATGACAACTTTATACTAAAGGCTTACAAATAAATTGACGACGGGTCTAATACAAAAACCACGAAGAAAATGTCCCAAGTCAACCTATTTAAACGTAGTGACATGTAAAGGAATATGAAAAAGCTAAAACGTTGAATTCAAATTGTAATATCATCGCAGTACTGTCTAATTTTGCTTGCTTCGCTGTCAGAAGAAACAAACGAAGACTAAAGCGTGAATGACGCTCTGTATACGATTTTAACGCCCTATAAGTTCGGACACTTTTTAGCGCGGACCCGACGTCCATATAATTCTAAGTCAATGACTAAAGGTCATTAAACAGCTTCTGCGTGTTTTAGTAAGGCAACAACATTTTTTTTTTATAATGAACGACAAACAAGTCGTGCGCCTGATAATAAGCGACACGCCTTTCCATAACAGTTGCAGTACCACTCAAAGCTTTAATTCACAAAGATCTGAGTGGCACTGCCACTCCGCCCGACACTCTGAGACATAAAAGTATCATAGACCTCTGTGAACTCTCAACCTTGCGTGAGCGTCCATGTCTCGGCACCATAGGTTATGGTGGGCAGAACACATTTAAACAAGTGGATCTTCAGACACTGTGGAACCTTATTGATTTATGGATGTCATTTGTCATCTTGTCGGCAAAAACTATATTATATGTAAGTTTATTTATGGCAAATTATTATGTTTTGCAAAAAGTCTAAAGCTGTATATAATGTTAGTAAATATTCCTGGGAGGTTGTTAATACAAATTTTACAAATAACCTTGTATTCAAATGTTATATATGACGCTCAAATCACCTTTATAGGCGCTACCAACAAAAATACATTTTATTTCTTTATTTGTTCATGTAGAAAGATAGATTGACGGCACAAATTGAATGTGGATGGAAACGTGGGGGAGAAAGACTTCGACATATTAAATATAATTTGATCAGATTGGAGATCCTCAAAAAAGACCAGGTTAAAAATACTAAAGAATGTACGAAGCGACATTTACGCGAATGGGGAGGTAAAAGACCTTTGTTGGGAACTTAGTCTGCAAATTCGGAACGGTAGTGCATTCAGCATGGCGCTCACGGTTTGCGCATCTTTTGTCGAATATATCTAACTCAAGACACAATGTACGCGCATACCTTGAATGCCCCGCTGAACCACCACTATTGCGAATTTGTTATTATTGATATTATATTATTGTAGGTTCCTAGTCTCTGTCTTCACCATCGCGAGATAGATGGTTACGCACTAAAACCTTTTTAACCGACTGCAAAAAAGGAGGAGGTTATACGTTCAGCTGTATGTATATTTTCAGATTTCTCCGTCATTTTTAGGCCGTTTCTGAAAATTTTATTTTTTGTTTGAAGCACACTAGTGGTGGTCCTATTGTCACCAAGTCAGAATCTGGTGAAGGGATTCATGGAAATCGAGGAAAATTCTCAAATTTTAAAGACATGTACACTGACATACCGATTTCTCCATGAATTATGGATCGATTTTGAAAATTCTTTTTTTGTTTGAAAGGATTTTTCGATCTTTTGAAATTGGCATCATGGACCACTTCGAGAGTATTCTCGAGGTGGTCCCTGATGCCAACGATGCTGTTTCGGGTTCGTTTCGGCTATCACAAATTAAAAAAATATTTTCTGCAAATAAAAGTCGACTTTCACTTGACACAATACATGATCTTTGTATTAATAATTATAACAATCTAGTGGAGTAATTTCACAAAAAATAATTGAATATCAATTCAATAAAAATTTAATTATAAAATACATGTAATCAACAAATCACAGTCGCCATGACAACCAGAAAAAAGTTTAAAATGTACGGAGGAGTCCGTAACAGTCCTGTGTCATTAAGAAGTCAGAATCTGATGAGGGGATCTCATGGAAATCGGAAAAAACCGATAAGTAAACTTTTGAGGTTGTTTTTTTTCATTAAAAAAGTTACAATTATTGGAACACACAGTGGGGTAAATAATATATAAATTGTCATAATTATTAAACAAAGATGTTACACTTAGAAAAAATTCACTTCGATCCAGCTGGATTTGAACCAACGTCTCCTACCAAACCGTGCGATTGCCCGTGGAACTACTAGTAGGTCTGTTGGTAGTTCCACGGGCAACAAAGGTGCGAAATCTGCGAAACGCTATGCCAACTAAGCCACAGACGAACGAACTGACCTCACGAATTTTTCCATGTGCTTGTTGCAGATCTTTGTTTTTGAATTTATAGTAGATTATGCAACAAGTGCATAAATCGCGTCATTTTATCCGAGACGAGTATATCCTCGGATATTTAAGTCGAGACACATTCTGCTTTTCACTTCGATTGCGAGGAAATTCAACAGCAATATTACAACTAAACGATTATTTAATTAAAATTGAATGTAATATTACAACAATTAGACATATTTAATATGATGGTTTTTTTATTTTATGCACTAGAACATGAAATACAATTTTATGCAATCACGAGAGCATAAAATCCTATTTTATGCAGCCTACACCTAGCATAAATACGAACTTTAAGAGCATGAGAAGTCAAAAATGTGCTTACGTATATATCACAGTTTATCTGAGTTTCTTTCGTTTTGTTAAAAAGATTTTTATGCACAAGCTAATTTTAATTGTTACCAAACGTGAGATAATTTAATAAAGCATTTGTTTTAATGCGCAACAACGATCACACGCCATGTTTAATAAATAGCATAAAAATTTTCTTTTTGGTAATAATAAAGAAACAAAAATGGTTCGATTAAAATTTTACGTGAAGATAAAGTGCGTTGTGAAAAAGTGGAAACCAATGGTAACGTTGCAAGAATTACAGTCTAGGGTAGTTGTCGACAAGAAAGAGGGTAGACAGATATGTCTGTCCCTAAAGCTGTCAACTGTCGGTAGTTAACTTGTGTCTGATATATCGAGAAAAGAATAAGAAAAAATGGGTTTGGTTTGTTCTAATGGTTTCTTATTAAGCATTAAGCCGGTCAGAAAAAGAAGTATGCCTATATGTGTGTAACTTTTTTTATATAAAAAAGCCGACCTCAAAAGTTCGTTGAATTACATCTATTTGTCAAATTTTATTGAAATCGGTTACCGGAAAGTGGACGAAACCGGATTCATCCCCTAGTTTGCCACCCTTAGAGGTGGAATATTGCCTTCAAATTTAAACTGGACCAATACGACTCATCCGAAGAACTGAGTGCGATGTGATTATACAGCGAAAAGAGAATAAGTACTTTACGAGAAAAATTTCGTTCTTCAAACTAAAGCCTATGTGCCTTCACATGATTTTGAGAATTTATCTGATTTTGGTTCGGAAATGCAAAATCGAACAACGGTCGATCTGACATCCACAGCGAAGAAGAACGAACGAAATGTATGTCCTGAGAACAAGTAGTCTTGCACATAGATTTTTGTTCTACGGATGAGGCGACTACTGAGATACCCTCTTTCTAAAAGTAATCATCAAACTCAGTTAACAAATTATCCGGAATTATCGCGTAACATACCAAAAAATATAGTTGAATTCAGTAAGTACCTCGTCCTTTTTTTTGAAGTCGGTTAAAAAAGAAGTTATGCGTTTCGCATCGGCGGTCTGAGCAGAAGCGAAACACACGACGTTGGCATTTTAGATGTGCACGCTTGATCGTCGACCTCATCACCATTTTCCATCAGATTAGATGGAGGTGAAATGGCATTAATTTTTTTATATTTATAAAAAAAGGTAATATGACTAATTCCTCTACCTAATGTGGGCTGGGGACTTCAGTTGTCATAGAGTTATGTTA